ATTTTTTTAATCCAAGTCCCAGTTGATAAAGTTTTATTATCAATAAATGAAACAGATAAAAATCTGTCTGACAAGTTTCTATATTAAAATTTATCATGCTTTTTCAGACATACATCCTTCCCACATTTTCTTCAACAATAAAAATGTCCTTTAGCTAGTAATTGTTGAATAAAAGTAGCAATCCAATATGATAGGGGGTTGGAGAATCAGTTTAGATTGTGTTATATAAAGAAATTCCAAATGGTATAATTTCCATGGAGAAAGTATTCTGTATCCTGTACAGATGCAGATAGATAACTCCACAAAACATCCATAACAAAGTACTTTTATTGATTCATCAGGTATTCTCATAACTCACATTTGTGATGAAGTTCTTCTTTAATGACCAATCCTTTGTATATCTGTCTTGTAGGTAAAAAAATGATTTATCTTCTATCCTTTTTTCCTCATGTTGTAGCGATAGAAGTAAAACAGTTACCACGAGTCCGTGAGTTCAGGCAAGAATGAGGAAAACCTCCCCCAACCTCTCGAGGGTCAATTTAGTGACCAATCAGGATTACAGATGTGGTCACGTGATATGGACTACATTTCCCAGGATACCTTAACTACATTTATCATGATGCATTCCCTTAAGGGGACACCTCACAACTGCTACCTAACTATCCAATTCTCATACACTGGCTGGTCAGCACAGAAAGCATTTAATCAAGGTTTGGAAACAAATCTATCAGTAGAAGACAATATACTTCATGTAGTTCAGGATCAAATGTAGAATCCTTGGTGCTCTCTGAGCTTGGTTGTTTGTATGCAGACAATCAAGCAGGAAAGAATACCCTAGTTAAGGAACTGCTAAGGAGAAAAACAATCAAACAGAGAAACAACCAAGCAGAAAACAATCCTCTAATCAAGGAACTGGCAAAGGGAAGACACAACGAGAAGAACAACTCTGGTAGGGCAAGCTAATGTATATAAATAGAAAGTAATCACTAGCACTGATAACGTTATCTATCTGGGTAGTGAAACATCTACAAGCAAGCAAGCAAGCCAAAGGTGGTATTCAGCAGGTTCTGACCAGTTCTGGAGAACCGGCAAACCCTAACTCTAACCTCTGCCTGGAGATTTTACAGTATTCTTCCCCTGCCACGCCCACCAAGCCACACCCACAGAACCGGTAGTAAAAAAAATTGAATCCCTCCACTAAACCAAGCTCAAAGAACACCAAGGGTGTCTCTCTCTCTGGCTCTCTCTCCCTCCCCTCTTTCTCTTAGTTTGGCTCAATAAAATTCTACTAGGAATATTACCCTTTCTACTAGGGATATGGAGGTAAAAAACAGAGTTGTGTTTTAGGAAAAAAATTTAAAATGAGATAGTAACATTCCCTTTTTGAAAACAATATAAAAAATACTACAAATTCAAGGAAATGATGCTTACAGTGCATAATGTTCTAATTTTGCACTTCTGAGGGCAAATATTGAAGGTTTTGGGATTGCTATATCTTCTCTGAAAATTTTCAGTCTTTTCCAGAACTAGGCAAAGATAACTTAATTCTGATTTTTAACGTTATAAATCTTTGGTTAAGGCAGAAATATGTTATAAATGTTCAGCATAGAAATGGTAGGGTATCCAAGAACGTAAATGACAGAAGGGAAGCATGGTGAAAAAGATGTTTTTGCCTTCACATAGATTGGCAATTATTTGTAGAGCTGGGCAGGTCATGATACATTGTTAATACTGTGGCTATGGATTTTATAGTATATTCGAAATGTATTTAAGACAATACTAACTAGAGCCAAATTACATACACTTTTCCTATCTGACTTCAAAATTGCTTGAGGAAAATATATCAGAAAACACTGACCAGTGGACCAGCAGACAGCACAATTTGGGTCCCATGAGGTCTCAAATCACAGGGATGACTCCTCCTTGCCTGAGATGCTGTAGGTCCCACCAGGGGTGGGATACGACAGGGTTATCTATTGGTTCGGGATTTATGAACTTCCCTGCACGCTGTGAGCCATGCGCCTATAAGTCGTCACCAGCAGCTGTGTGCAGAGAAGCAGCCTTTGAAACAGCCCTCTTTTCCTGCTTTTTAAACTGCACTTGTGCCTCGTTTGGCAGCTGAAGTTGAAAAATCAGGAAATAAAGATCAGGTAAGAGCCCAGGTGGGCGAGTGGGCAAAAACATCAGCAGACATAGAACCAGTTCTATGTCTGCTGCTCTTCAGAGCTACCGATTCTACAGAGGTGGACAGAACTGGTAGAAACCCACCCCTGGGTCTCACCAGTAAACCAGGTAGAGTATCAAATGAGTCTTTGTTCAGAGTCAAAGCTTCTAGAATAGGGATGTCAAACTCACGTCGTCATGGCAGTGTCACATGACATATTGGAACTTTTTTCCCCTTCGCTAAAACACTGCATAATGCAGCTGACCCATGAGCCAGGACTTTGACAGCCCTGCTCTAGAAGGACATCCTTACCTGAGATGGAGCTTGCATTATACTGTATATAGGTTTTCTATCTAATACATAAGGATTTGGTTCAATTCTAGCAACTGCTGGAACAAGCTGTGTGCCTTGGAACTATCCATGGTCCTGCAAATTATATTTTGTCGGGCTGATAGTTGCTTATTTTGACAGCCCTTCGGCACACTGCCTATTTCAGCCTTCTATAACCAAGAACCTTCTAGAAATTTTATCAGAATAGACCCAGCTGGTTGGAAATCCTGTGATCTGTTATCCTAATGTATTTCGAAGTACCAGGCGGAAAATAAGGTTTATAGTTCCTCTGATGCTTTTTTCTACTGCTTTCTATCTTCTACCCATATGTCTTCTCCCAGAAGGTTTTAATATGCCTCTGCAAGACTTAAGCCACCAAGAGAATCTAGGCATATGCAACTGGGGATAACTCTCTATTATGGTGGGGGGATGAATAGTGTATTATCATGTGATCAAAAACATGCAATCAATTTTTCTTTTTCTTTGTCAAGGAGTGTCAAATTCAATTTGTTAGCTTAATTTCCACCAGGCATTTGCTACGGTAATATTGCAGAAGATATGTAGTTTCTAAGATGGGTAAAGGTGATCTTGAGTTAAAAGAAGTGCAGATATTACAATAATTGTGTACGTAGTTACTTAAAACTTTGAATCTAAAGGGCTACTAAAGCAGCACTAATATAATTTTAAAACAGCAGAACATTAAAAAAAAAACCTTACAAAATCTAATAATAAAAATAGGAAATCAGAAACCAACACCATAAAATGGAAGTTCGGGGTTAAAAGAGTGGGAAAAAGAGATATGTCTTGACAATAGGTCACAGATTCCATATAAATAAATGGCCAATTTGTGCTGGAGAGAGAATTCCATAATTTGGAATTGGACAAATGAAAAGGCTTCATTTTGCATCCATCTCTAGCAGTGGATGGGCAAATCCTATTGTTTAAAGAAGCTAAATACTTCTTGTGCTTGGAAATGCACTTAAAACTAGTGACAATAAATGAAAAACAGTCTTAAAATCATATAAGCTCAACTTAAAATGCCATTCCCATTATTTCACACTACATAACATTTTCAAATACTTTACAGGGAATGTTTTATCACTGTTGTACCCGTGCCAGGTACATGGCATATGTGACATCATAACATATGTAAAGCCTGTGAATAGTTAATGCATATTATATCAACTTGCTCAAATCTATGTCTTACAAACATGCTTCAAACTTGTAATCCCCAATTTGTAAAGGAAAACAAGAGATTTACATTGATACTAAAATTTACTTTTCTTCCATCTCTATCATTTTAAATGGCAATATATTTATTTTTGTCATCTTCTGATTGTTAAGAAGTTTTTAAGAAGTTAAGAAGACACTTTCTTTAGAATAAAGCTTCTCTGAACTACTACTTTTTTGTGGGAAGATATAATCGTATTTTGTAATAAAATCACATATAGAAAGTCTTTTATTATACAGTCCCAAGCTTTGTTTAAAAAATGTTATTTTCAATTTAGTGGGATATCCCAGAATAGTAGGTAGAATCTTGCAGCCTTAAATCTGATACAATTACAAATACTACTACTACTACTACTACTACTACTACTAATAATAATAATAATAATAATAATAATAATAATAATAATAATAATAGAAACAGAGAAAAGTTTTATTAAATTAGTTTTATGGTTAATAGCATATTCAGGATAAGGAATGGACAAACAGCTTGCTGTATTTTCTCTCTCTTTCCATTCTCTACAGGACTAAAACACATTTAGAACACACATATTTGGGGAAGCTGATGTAATAATGTATTAATAACACATGCCATGTTGATTTAGCACATACAGCACCTCAGTCATGAAACTAACTGGATTTTTAAAGTCCCATCTCCTGGTAATTTATCACAGATTAGGCAGAGGAGTCATATATGTACAAAAAGTGTATTTTTGCCACACTTTCTCTATTATAGATTTGCTCCCTCTTTAATTAATAGATTCATGTAACTAATAAAATCATAGTATGAATTACAATAGAAGTTTAATGCACTTCAGTATGTGTATATGTACATATACAAATGCACAAATACATATTTATTAGGTACCTTAGAATAATTACAAAAGGTAGACATTTTAAGGAAATAATTCAATATAATATTGATGTACCCCCAAATACTCTACTTAAACCTTTCTATTTTTCTACTAACTACTAAAATAGGTATTTCTATTTATACTGAAATCCATTCACACAAAACCTTTGCATTTATATCCACAGAATGGCATACATACTAAATTTGTGCAGAAGAGACAAGTATCCATTCATGCTGTCCAAATCCTGAGGATTTTGTTCCTAAATTCTTATTTCAAGATTGCTTTAAAGAGGCAGCAGTGCTTATAGCTGAATAGAGCTTAAGATACAGAAGCTTTTTAAAAAAAGTGAGGTCATGAATCCACTTAGATGCAAACGTAAACAGATAAAGATAGCAGCTGTGAACAAGAAAGGAATGAACAAATACCTTTTGAATTCTTCCATTAATATCCAGATAAATGCGCTTGGGTTGGTATGCCGATGAGCTGCATCCCATCTTCCTAAGATTTGCTACAGTGAGACTTTGACTGTAATTCGTTGGATTAACTTTACAGCAGAAATAAGGTTCAGCAAACTGAAACTGAAACACTATTTCTAGATGCATAAGTCTCTTCACTCTTTCCCATTCTGCAGCCTCAAACTACAATCCCCCCTCTCAGATATGCATGCATTTCCCATCACTTTTCTACTCCTCCTTTCATTTTTTTTCGCATTCTTGTGAAGGAACAGGCGGGAGCCAAACTCCAGACCCTGTCGCCAACTGCCCTCTTGATTCCCATAGCAACTCTCGATGGCTTCAGATCAAGGAGTATTTCTGCAATCAATGTGCCACGGTTGTACAGAAAAGTAGGGTTTGATTAGCTGCTTTGACACAAAGCAGCACTTAACACTCAGCAAATGATCAGCATTTATCTCACAGTTGGTGTTAAGGATTTTTATAGTAAGGTTTGAGAATTCATTATTTTAGCAGTCTGTCTAGACATAAGAGAAAAAAAGTATGGCATTCAGTCAGCGAGTTGATTTTAAGAGCACGGTACAGCAGCACTTGGGATTCTTAAAGTTAAAATAAAGTCTTTTAGGCACACTTCTGCTTTAATGGCCCAGAAAGAAGGAAGGAGTAAAGATTATATAGGGTTCATAGAAATGGTACATGATTTTTTTTTGCCTATTTTTATAACCCCTAGGTTCTAAAAACTTTATGTTTAGTAGAAATAAATGACATGTAGAGGTGATTTTTAGATTGGCACGATAATCCACATTCTATAAATTTAGAATGGGGAATTATATTAAACATATTTTTAGTGAACAAATTTTAAGTGCCACCTACTGAATTATAGTGGAATATAAACTATTCAGCTGTAGGGTGATCTCTTGGATAATGTTTCTAATTTTTGATGGAGCAGAATATTCCCACAAGGCTGATATTAAAGAATTAAAAGAAATAGAATAATTTATTTTCAGAACTCAGCTTGATTGAATAGACCAATATATCGTGACCAAATGATTTCAAAATTCATCGAGACTACAAATCTCAGCCAGCACATTATAATTCTAACCCACCCAGAAAGTTCCAAGTTTGATAAGGCTGAAATAAAGAATGCTCACCTAGTTTTCACTGAAAGTGGCCTGCTGTCATTGAGTGATTTATTGCAACATTTGTCTGCACAGTATTTTTTTTTTTAGGGATGAATAAGTTTTTTTAGGGATGAATAAGTTTAGGGATGAATAAGCAAATAAATAATATTCCTGGGCTGGAAACAATTCCAATGTTACTATTATTCTCATTTTTCATATTGCCTTGAATCACTCTATGTATTGTAACAAAAATGGCGGAATCCATAATTCACTATAATTGCACAATGTCCCCAGTAAAAAAATTTTTGCTTTACATTTTTCTGAATCCATCACTCATGACATCCAGACAGCCACATTTAAGCAAAATATAATGATCACCAGAAAAACATTTGTCATAAAGAAGCTCAGACATTTCTATTAATTAGCAAATCTAAATAGATCTTTAACATGTAAACAAGAGTAGATAATTGTAATTCATATCACAGAAATTTAACATCTGGAGTGCCCTCCCTGGCTTATCATGTAAAGCTTTAGTTTGCAAACCTGAAATTCTGGTACCTACTGGCAAGATTAGAATTGCACAATAAATCAGGATTTATTTTTTCCTTTTCAATTCAATGCAGAAAATCATTTTTTCATCAAACAAGACCAAAAATATTATTTCATTGGGTCTCTAAATTTTTTTCTAGTAGCTATTTGACTGCTATTGAAATTTCTAAGCTTTATTTCATGTAGAAGAAACAAAGAACATGATGGTGATGATATGATGATAATGATTCATTCTCTGAGGCAAGACCAAGTCCAATATTGTTGTCCCAAATCTTACAGCAAGTATATATTGTAAATAAAAGCATCATTACATGACATCTGGAAGACAAGGGAGTTGGGAAGGTCTGACTTGTAAGACAACAAGTATTACATGGGGTGGGATTCAATTTTTTTAACAACCGGTTCTGTGGGCGTGGCTTAATTGGTGGGCGTGGCTTGGTGGTCATGTTATTGGCTGGGTGTGTCCAACTCAATATCACTCACACTGAGGCACGCATCTCTTCGCCTGGCCTCTCATGACTGTGAGGATGCTGCAACAGTCGTAAGTGTGAAAAATGGTCATAAGTCATTTTTTTCAGTGCCATTGTAACTTTGAATGGTCACTCCACACAAGCAAAGTACCAGCAAAGGAGGGAAAAAAAACTCCAGAGAAGTTCCAGAGACAGGAAGTCTAGTCCTGCCAAGAATGTAATAAGGGTTAACGGAGAGGCAGTTTCTGTAAGAAACACCAGAATGTTTCCTTCCTGCCTTCCTTACAGGATTAGGCCAGTAATTTCTTCTAACAACCGGTTCTCTGAACTGCTTAGAATGTTAGCAACAGGTTCTAGTGAATAGGTGCGAACTGGTAGAATCCCACCCTTGGCATTACGTCACTGCTCCTTCAATACCTCTCTGGTGTAAAAACAGGAATAAAAAAAATTCATAAACAGTTAATATCAGGGGTGGGTTTCTACTGGTTCTGTCCACCTCTGTAGAACCGGTAGCTCTGAAGAGCAGCAGACATAGAACCGGTTCTATGTCTGCTGATGTTTTTGCCCACCTGCCCACCCAGGCTCTTACCTGATCTTTATTTCCTGATTTTTCAACTTCAGCTGCTGAAGGAGGCACAGCTACACAGGTGCTAATGATGTGCTAATGACGATTTACAGGCGTGCAGCTCACAGTGGGCAGGGGGTAATTAACCCTGTCATATAAATAAATAAATAAATATTTGGGGAAAAAAATCAAATCTCGTAAGCTCTTCTCATATCACTTACCCCAAACAGAAGAGATTTGCAGCTGGGCCTTACTTTTTAGCACATAGCTCAATTGATTTCTGAGTTAATCCTATTCTGATTGGAAACAACCCACTCATTTTAAAAATAAAAGCTCACAAAGAACCTTGACATATCACATTATTTTTCCTACCTAATATACAACTTTCTTTTCACTGCAGACTGATCCCTATCTTTTTATTTTCTCCTTGACCTTCTGGTTCCCTTTGCAATCTTCAGTTTATTTTCTTTCATTGAACAGTCAGTTATATGTCAACTAGAGACTTCATTAAGATGTTATTGAATACTTCTGGAGGATGATTTATTGCATTCTTGCTCTTTAAAGTGCTAAGCCTTTGAAGTGTTTGAAGGCAACTAGACTTTAGCAAAGCATATTAAGTGCTTAAGCTTACAGTGTTAGTCAAGTTTGTACAAAGGCCACAAGCTTCAAAAACAGGTAAATGTAAACAGCAAAAGGAATGGAAATGCAAACATGCTTTCCACTTTAGAGAGATGAAAAAAAGAACATGGCTTATTTGAACAATGATTCCAAGAAACTGAAATGTGTCAAAGCATAGAATCACCTGCTGGCTCAAATACACAACAATCTCTTTCACATAAATGGTTTGTTTCTAACTTAGATTTCTCTTGCGGTCGTTCTTTTCCCAATTTCTGTTTCTTTTTATGCTTCTTTCTTCAGTATTTGTTTAACTAGTCTATCCTGCTTCAATGTTCAGCTGTTCTATTTTGCCTGATTCACAACTTTGGTTCTTTTTCCTGGGTTCTGCTGTTTCTATTCAACTGAAACACAGCAGCCAAATGAGAGAGAGGGGGGGAGGGAGAGAGAGAGAGAGCGCCTGGGAAGTTTTACACACTTAATCTTTCCCATTAAATAAAAGCAGTTGAATCCTCTTGATTTAAGGATATCCAGGGAGATGAAGATCACAGTCCTTTGGGTAGACATATTCTAACTTGGAATGAAATAGTTTATGTTCTTTCCTTAAGAAATTTTTTAAATGTAATCTCTGTCTGATCAGTACCACCATCTGGTGGCAACCATGATCACTGCAGGAACAATTGTCTTCCATGTTTCTTACTACAGGTAGTCGTGGACTTACAACAGTTCATTTAGTAACCATTTGAAGTTAAAACAGCACTGACAAAAGCAACTTATGACCATTTTTCACAGTTACAATCTTTGCAACATCCCCATGACCATGTGATCAAAATTCAGATTCTTGCCAACTGGTTTACACTTATGACTGTTGCAGCATCCCAGGGGTATATCATCCTCTTTTGCAACCTTCTGACAAGCAAAGCCAATGGGGAATTGATTAATAACTTATCAACTGTAGTGATTCGCTTAAGAACTTGAGCAAGAAATGTCATAAAACAGGGAAAAACTCACTTCACGAATATCTCATTTAACAACATAAATTTTAGGCTGAATTGTGGTCGTAAGTGGAGGATTATCTGTAGTTCCCACTTTTGCAGGGAAAACAAATTCTTTTAATCATTTTGCCTCTCAGCTTTTATCAAGGAATTTCCTATGAGTATTCTTCCTTTTGTTCAGCCTTGTCTTCCTGTTCATTGTTCATATTTTCACTCAGAAAGCCAAGCATATGTTTTATACTAATGTTGTTTATAAGAAGTTGGGAGTAGAGCAGTTTAGTTTCTCATAGGAACCCTTCTTGGGAGTAAGGAGGACAGATCATCGATGCATTACAGATGGTCTTAAATTAAGAGGAACTCTTGAGAGCAGACCTCTGAAAAGAAACTTGGCACAATTTGATGGAGATATGAAATGGCAGTTGAGATGGGCTTAGATTGTTCTATCTTTTGAGACAGGTTGCTCTAACATCCATAGTTATGAAGACCTTTGAATGGCTAGTACTGGCCCACCTGAAAACCATCATGGATCCACTATTAGAGCCCTTGCAATTTGTCTACTATTCTTCTTCTCATCCTTTTCTATTTCCTTTTCTACTTATGACTATAGCTTTGTTATTCGTATCTTTATTATTTATATTGTTTAGTTTCCTAGTATGATTTATGTTGATTTCTTATTTAGTATCCCATGACTATTACTAAGTGTTGTATCTTATGATTCATGATGAAT